ACTGATTTCAGAAGTGCTTCTCAAACAAGGAATACACTTGAGGAAGGCTTCAACCTTGGATCACACCAAGGTAATCTTCTTAACTGCTTCTCCAAATAGGGAGAAAGCCATAAAGGCTGAAATGAAGAGACAGCTTCAACTTGAGGCTAAGAGACAACAGGGAGAGAAGGTACAGAAACCTCTCTCTGTATCCCCTTCTGCTGAGAAGAGAAAAAAGAAGAAGAAGAAGACTGAAGGGGAAGCACCTGTTGCCCCCCTAAGGCCGGACAGAAGAGGAAGAGGACCACCAAACCAAAGAAGAAGGTTTCTAAAACTGTGGTTTCTGAATCTGAAGGAGTGGCAGACACTCAGGGGGAACCAGAGATCCCCACCTCTGCTGCATCTCCTGAACAGAACAGGGTGTCTACTTCAGCAGAACACCCCAATCCTGTCAAAGATGGGTATCTGTCCCTGTTAGACAGACAGTTTACCCGGGTTCTCGAATGGAGAAGGTGGAGAATGGGACCCCTCTCCAAAATTATCCAGTATTTTGACCATTATGAGCCAGAAGAGGAAGCCATTCTGAGCTGGGTTGGGACTGATGATGTCTCAAAGTGCTTTGCCCTCAACTTCCTTCACTCTGTTCTTGAGAAGAAGAAGGCAAGCTACAAAGGGAAGGCCATTCTCATCTCCTCACCTTCAGAAGAGGCTGTCAAACCTTTGGAAGAGGAAGAAATTGAAGCATTCGAGGAATGACTATTCACCAAGATGGCAACAGATTCTATGCAACCCCATCTCAACCCAGGAGAGCCCTCTGTACCCAAGACAGAAGGGCAAGCAATGATGGAGCATATCAAGGAGTGGAGGACTTCTTTGCTCAAGGAGAACATCATTGAGGTAATATCTCCAACCCCCTCTGATAATATCCCAACAGAACCCCTCATTCCCTCACCTCCTTCCAGCACCAGAACCCCTCCACCAGAACACCCTGAACCTTTATCTCCTAAACAGAAAACCCCCACCCCTCCTCATTCACCCAAACAGAAAATTGCATCTCCCTGCAGAGCAATTGTTCCCTTCAGAAACCGTTCACCCTCACCTCCACCATCTCCCCCTCAACAGAATGCCTCACTTGTTCACTCTTCACCCCAGCACCAGATCCCCTCTCCCCAACAAATCTCCTCCTCATCCTCTGAATCTGATCATCAATCTTCTCCTCCAGAATCTTCACCTCCACAACAACCTGCAGAAAATCTTAAACCTGTATGGTTTCTCAGGGATTCTGACCCTACAATTGTCTCCCCCATCTCTGCACCTCAAGGGAATTCTAGGCATTCTACTGCCCCCAATCCCTCCTTCAGAAAGAAGAAAAAGGTCATCAGAAACACCATACCTATATACTCCTCTTATGAAGACTCATCTGACATGGATGGATTCATGGTCAGCAAGTCTTATCAAGCCACATCCAAGAGACAGAAGACCCCTCCTCTGACTCAACTGGAACATGAACAGGCTGTCCAATCTCTTTCATCTGTCCAAGAGCATCATCCTTTGCCTAAGGGAAGAGGTCTGGAGATGCCTCACCCTGATGGACAACAGAACAACGTTCCCTTCAACAAATTTGTTGAATCTGCTGAAGAATTTGGAGGACAGATCCTCCAAGGCTTGAACAAACTGATTGAGGTCAATGACAAACACTATGGGCACCTTGCTCATGTGAATGACAATCTCAACTCAGGTATGCAGTTTATCTCTGATCGTTTTGAGAACCTCACTGGAACTCTCAACAACTTCATAGCCTCATCAACTGCCAGAACTGATGCCCTGTCAACAGAAGTGGTAGGCATCCACAACACTCTTTCTATCTTCCAGCAGACTCTCCTGAGTCAAGGCCATGTTATTCACAATATCTCAGAGCATCTTGAAGCTCTGAAAGAATCTGATGCCAGGACAGAAAGGCACTTGACCTCCATTGAGGCAATGTGCAGAGTGCATCAAGAACAGGCTCATGCACTTCTGTCCACTGACAGAGATCGGTATCAGAAGATGGTGCTCCTTGAAGCCAATAACAAGGACATCTTCTCTGCAATACAGAAGCAGCAGGGTCTGATTGAAGGCCTTACCTCTGTCACCCAGACACTACCAGAGGCCCTGGAGCAGATAGCCTCAACCCAGGCCTCAGAATTCCAGAAGATCAGTCTAATGATTGAAGATCTGAATGATGCCAAAAAGGGGGAAGAGGACCCTCAACAGACCAGGCCTAGGTCTCACAGAACTCCTACCAGAGCACCCTCCTCTGGTGAGCCTGCAGTAGATCCGACTCCCTATTTTGAAGCTGCCCTACAAAAGAAAAGAGCAGCAGGCATACCTAGACCCCCATCTCCAGTAAAGAAGAGCACCAAGAAGAAGAAAGTTTTCAACTTCACTGAGTGGAGATTGGGTGGCTCTCAGAACATTGACAGAGCTCAATTTGAAGAGATGAAGGCTAAAATGACTCCTACCCAACAACAGCACTTCTATCTGGACAAAGATGGTGTTGTCAGAGTTAGGTATGGAGGATCACTTGAAGAAGCAGAAGAATGGTACAAGAAGAACATTGTCCCAGGAAAGACCATACATGAAGGTGTCCTCAACTATTTGGACTGTAAGCTTTCTCCAATATGGGCATCTTATCAGAGGTCTGGCAATCTGTTCAAAATCAGAGCTGAAATAAACGAAGAACTGCTCAGGCTTCAAAGACTAGAGGAAGAAGCTCTACAGGCAGCTAATCTGGAGAATGTGTAAGGTTTAAACTCTGTAAAACCTATCTAATAAAATCACATCTCTGCCTTCTTACTTTGAAGTGTTTTTCCTCAAATTCTTGTCTTTTTTGCCTTCTGCTTGTGTTTGTTTATTTCTGTTATATTCTGCTATCTGAATGTATCGTACTCTTACTATTTTCCTATGCCAAGTTGCCCACCAAAATTTTAATGGAAGTTTTTAAACTTAATTTTTTTTATGGTGAAGGCACTTCTCTGAAAATAGTTAAAGGGTTTTGGCATCATCAAAAAGGGGGAAATTGTAAGGAATAATTGTAATTAGATTTTGATGATGCTAGATTAATTAGGACTTTAGAGTACCCCTTTAGAAATTATGTATTAGAATTTTCCTTTGTAAAATTCTTAGAAGTATTCGACTTGACAGAAGACCTTCAAGAGCAGAAGGGCTTCAAGAGCAGAAGGACTTCAAGAGCAGAAGTGCCTCTTAAGGCATTATTGAAACAGAGGACCTTTGGTTCTCTGCTCCAGAACAGAAGTCCTCAGGAACTCTGTTAGTCTTGACTCTGACAGAAACCCTTCTGGGTCTCTGTTGAATACTCCCAACAGAAGTGCTCCAGGCCTCCTCTGTTCTACTCTCAGACAAAGACACCAGAAGGTCTGACACTTAGAAGAATTTCAAAGATCCGGGAAGTCAACTAAAAGATTCCTTCAACGGCTAGGAGTATGAAACGGAAAAGCTACAGTGCATGCATTAAATGCTCATTTAATGCACCCCATGCTACGTAGAGTAATTGCAGATGATTGGCCGCAATGTCAAGAATTCTTTATCCCAAAATAGTAACCCGCCAACTTTATTGGGCTCTACTAGTCAAGTCAACTGATCGCGCATTAAATGCAGTTGTCCTCCTACTCCTCCAACGGGAAGACAACCTCAGTATAAAAGATACACTACGAAGAACAACCGGATAACTTTGCTATAACTTTGCCAAGATTACATTGCAACTTTTGCTAACCACAAGCAAGATATTCAAACTCTGAAAAGCAAAAAGCCTCCTTGAGATTCAAACTCATTATCCTCTACAAGAGAAGGCAGAAGTTGGAAAAATACTCTTTCCCACTCAAGCAAAGTTCCAAGTGTTCTTCAACTTTTCAAGCTCATCACATACAAATCTTTTGTAACGAAGCTAGTTGGAGGAACCCCAGTTTCAACAGAAACTCTTCTTGCTACAAGAAGGACATCCAAATAACTGGAGTAGTGAAGTGGTGATACTTCAAGGAAACTCAGTGAAAGGACCAGTGTTAAAGGAAGCCAGACAGTGCATCCCAGGACACATCTAGGCTTGAAGAAGACGTGGAGTGCTTCTTAAGTACTAGGACTAAGGCTTTGTAAACGGCAGTTTTTACAGCTTAGTGGAACAGTGGATTAGAGGAACGAGTTGTTCCTTGAACCACTATAAAAATCCCTGGTGTCGTTTACCTACTGCTTTTAATAATTGCATTTAGTTAGAACTGTATAACTCCTTGGACTTGGTATCTGTGTTCAGCAGAACTTGTTCTACGAGTTAACAGAAGGCCTACTGCCTATTGCTTCTCTGAGGCTAACAGAACTCCCTACCAGAACCCCATCCGCTGCGAGTCTGTTCTTCCAACAGAACAGGCTATTCTGTAAATCTGGTACTTAGTTTAAAAAGCTAAAAACCAATACAGTCTATTCACCCCCCCTCTAGACTGTATCCAGTATAACCGGGACCAACATGACCCTATGATTATGAACAAACGAATAGAGGGATCAAAACGCCTTGGAGGTGATGTCAAAACTATAAGTATGGACAAACCGAGCGACGTTCGGTAACACAGATTGTTCGAACGGGGGATCGGAACTATGGGTTTGGAAGATGGTGAGTCCACGTCTGTCAAAATCGAGTCCATATTTGTAGAGTCGAGTCCTGATAGACAATTTATAAGTCCTCGCAATTGCACGAGTCACGGTATTACAGTGCTCAAGTAAGGGTCGAATCCACGGGGAAAGTGCAACTAAGTAATTGAAAAACTATTAATAAAAATAAAATTTAAATTAATCAAACCAAAAAAATGAATTTTGAATTTGTTTGATTTGAAACTGAAAATTAAAGCTTGAATTAAAATGGATGCAAGGAATTTAAATGAATGAAAATAAAATGAATAAACAACTAACAGAAAAGTGATTGAGAATTTAGCAAGAGAAAAGATAGTCCAGGATTATGAATCTGTCACTAAGTTTTTTGTATTTATGATTTAGTTAGTCAACTGAAATTGAGGGTTCGTTCTAGACAGAAATATGACTATTCTGTATGGCGTCCAGAATAAGTCACGTATTGTAACTATTAATCAATAAGAAAATTAATTCAATAGCTAAAATTCATTAGTCACAAAAGAAATACGGAAACCCGATTTAAGAACCAAATAGATAATCTAACAAGACAGCTAAATTATCTATTCTTTTATCCAAAAGAGCTCGAACTAATAGGCATGGCATGTACTCTATTAATCCACTCAAACAACTTAATTAATCATATTAAAGTTGGCCAAAAATTAACATAATCAATTAAGCGAATAAGATTAATGGATAAAACTCAATCAATTGGCCTAACTAAAATCACAATTCATACTAAATCATAGCAGCTTCATCATAATCCGGACTTAAGAATTTAGTTACTCATATTAAAGTAAAACACTAGGAAAACAATAAGTAAATAGTGCAGTTTGATTATCTGGGCAATCAACAACATACGATTGCTTGAAATACTCAAATAATTAAACAAGACAAGTTTCTAATGAATAAAGTTGGAAAAAGTCAAGAACCGAAGGAATTGTGGCTTATTCAAACCAGAAATTCAGTAGCAATGTTTCAGAAATTTGGCAGAACCGCAAATCAGAACCTCCGGCTGCGTCGCTGCCTTTCTTCTACCTGCTGCTCTAAGCGATTCGGCACTCGGCTCCTTGCCCTTTGCTGCCAGCCTTCGACACTCGACTCTCCAAACTCAGCAGCCAGAATAGATCCCCCTCCTTTAACCCTTGCTGCGTTTTTTATACTCCCCGGATTACAGTCCAGGTCTCTAGGGCCTTTTTGTTGGTCTTTTTTTTCTTGTGCGCACCTGGACTGTTTTTTTTTTCTTTTTTTTTCTCTCCTGAATTTTGAGTTGCTGGTGCGGCTCTTTCCTTTTGTTTTAGTTGAGAAATAAGTCCAATTTGTTTTAAAAACTTTTTATGAACAGTTCCTGGATTTGCAACTCCATTTGAAATTGGACTATTCTTCTAAATTCAGCCCAATGAATCCTCAAATACTTGCATTAAATTCTCCATCTGTAAAAATCATTTTTATGATAGAATAGCATGATACTTCACGTGTAGGACGCTAACGCGTACTCATTATCTTGAAGCAAAACTTGTCTTGTTTTATGTGGCACTCCTTTTACCAATGTATCTTCTACACCTCTTTTTGAGACAATGCGACCAATAACATCTAAACATAAAAAAATCATGTTAGCACAAGTGAAAATGCAACACATATTTATGAATATATTTTATGGGAATAAAAATATAATCTAAACAAACTTGGAAAAACTACTAACCAAACATTTCGGTTTCATCCAATATGTTTGTTGTCAACACACTCTCAAAAGATTTGAATTTATACACCTCGTTCAAGAACTCCGGCTCATTGTGTTCCGTAATTTGAGTCTTTGGGAGAAAAAGTATCTTGAACTTGTTTGGTGTGGTCTTGTATTTTTTACCATCATATGCCACAACAAAATTGCCAATTGCATAAACCTCTCCCTCTTTCATTACATCCTTATACTTTGCAATCAAAAAGCTTCGAATCGTTCCATGGATCCGATCTCCCTAGCATTTAAAAAATAAAAAAAGACGCTCGGCATTAACGAAACCAATTATTTGTCAAAAATTGCCTTACAATCTATATTTAAGAAAATATTCGTTTTGTAACTGAATGTAAATATAGCAAATATCTACATCCTTGTCATGAAACACACACTCCATACTCCTAACTTCACCGTCTTCACTTTGTGAGTAATACATCCGCACCAGCCTTAGTCTTAAACCCCAAATCCTGGATTGAGGAGATACATCCCGAATCAAACCAAACATACCCGCCATTTTTCCACAAATATTGAACTCAAGTGATGCCTTCGTTTCTACTTGCTATGCGGCTATGGTGGGCTGTAAAGCTGTTGAGGACCTTATTTATAGAATAAATTTCAACCCTATATTTAATGACAACAGAGTGTGCACGTGTTTTTTTAAACCCTATATTTAATAAAAAAAGTGTGCACGTGAAATTTCAAAAGCAACTTTCAAAAAAAAACGTTTCATATAACCCCACCCAAATCTAAAGCAGATTATGAAAAGGTTTTTAGGAATCTAAGACCAGTAGCCACCGGTTGTTCAACCGGTTGTTAAAATCAAGAATGAAATTTTGAATTTTTGAAGACCAAAAGACACCTTAAATTTATTTTTTCGCAGTTACTTTCCTGCGGCCACTCTGTCTCTTTCATTCCCCATTTTCATGTTGTAATCAATGCGCTACGCTGGCAAAAGGGTTGTCAGAAAGGGTCCAATCCCGAGGAGATTTCATTAAATAACCTCTAATTAATTGTCTGAGTCACTAAAATTCACACAAAGATAAAAAATGCACGCAGTTCTCTGCCTTAATTCACACGTGTGCCTAAACACCTCCTCCTAATGTGAATTTTGAATGCATAATGCCACCCAAATTCCCTCCCAAACTTCCCCCCACACTTTTCCATTTTAATATATATATAGATTTGTTTTAAAAACTTTTTATGAACAGTTCCTGGATTTGCAACTCCATTTGAAATTGGACTATTCTTCTAAATTCAGCCCAATGAATCCTCAAATACTTGCATTAAATTCTCCATCTGTAAAAATCATTTTTATCACAAAATATAACTCAAACCTCTCAATTAGGAAAATAATAAGCATAGAATTGTAATAAAGTAATATAAAAATGAAACACAAATTCTAGCTCATCAAACTCCCCCACACTTATCTTTTGCTTGTCCTCAAGGAAAAATAGTATCAAGAAACTTATTCAGCAACAAGTTTTCAAAATCCCCTTCACTCACCAAGCATACCAACATTCCCCTCCATGACAAAATATCTCAAGAAACTCAAATCAAGTATCCACCACAATGTCAAACTCAAAAGTCAATCACATAGACTCACATGTCATTAATAGAAATGTATTTTACAATTCTAAATGACCTAGTGAAATGCTCAAGTAACTTCCACAGAAATTATGCAAAGTCCTAAGTCTATCAAGCAACACTCTATAGTCATCTCATGCTCTTCCTTCCACCCTATCAAAGCATAAACTGATCAAGATCACTTGGGACTTTTATTCGGGTTATAGCGTGGCCTGGGTAATGGTTTAATGAAAGAAAGAATATGGAAATTCAAACAAAGGAGGAGACATTTTCTATACTAAACTGATCCTAGGAAGAGTTCAATATATGATAAAGGAGCACAAAAAAAAACTATTACAACAATCAACCGACTTCTAAGATAACGAAGTACATACAGAAAGTGAAAAGAATACAAACTTTAACTCAACTCATCTTCACTTCTTTTTTCTTTTCTTTTTTTTTCACTTCTTTTCTTTTTTTTTTTTTTTTTGCTTTTTTTCACTTTTTTTTTTGCAACATCAAAACTACTTCTAAAAAGAAATATCAAATTGCCGCAACAATATTACATCTATACAAACTGCCGGGAAAAAATGCTCCAATAAGATGAAAACTCTTCCTCGTCACAGTTTAAGTAAAAAAAATGTCAACTCAAGGGTGAGGGAAAAATTTGACTATTTGGGCTCAGGGTCAATATTGATGGGTAATCACAAAGAAACTACTTGTCACAAGCACGGTAAAATGCTTTAAGACAAATTAGGCTCAAAGGGGTAGCAAGTGGAAATAAAATGCAAAGGGTAGGCTAAAAGGTTTGGGGTTATGAAAAATGGCCTAGATCATTTCTCAATCAGTTTGCACAATAACTTAGCTTCCAAAAGAGCAACAAGACAAGTTCTATCATGCTAGCTAAAAGACAAAGGACTCACACTCTTTCCAAGAACGTTAGAGATGCATCCTAAAAGGTCATAAAGAATTGAGAAATACATCCAAGTTAATGGCACAAGAAACTAAGAAATTGACTGGAATTAAAAACAATGTGAAGAACTCAATCAAATTCAAGAGAAAACTTTTCATGGAGCCCACCAATCATACCACATACCAATGAAAGGGAACTTGTCACAGCTTGAGGCCAAAGAAGTCGTCCTGAAATTGAATTTCCCTCAAAGCCAAGCAAAAAAACAGATTTCTTTTTTTTTCTGGATTTTTTTTTCATTTTTCTGTTTTTTTTTGTTTCTTGAAACTTAAATAAAACTAAAAAATGACAACTATTCCTCCCCCACACCTATCTCAAGCATTATTCACAATGAAAGATTAATAACACAGAAAGTGGGAAGAAAGACTCCCTGAATGCACTTTGTAGCTCTAGAACCGAAACTGAAAGCACTTTGAATAACAACCTGCAAAACTGAAAGAAAGAAAAAAAACGAACGAGGTAGGGAGGGAAAACTAAGAGGAGTATATGGGTCCAGACCCCATGACCCACATACTCAGAAGACTAAGAGGAGCACAGCTGTCATCCAGTGGGCCCTCCGACGGCCAGATGGCACTTCATTGGCCGAAAAAGAGTCAACCCGGAATACGCTCCGGAAGCAAAGGAGAAGACTTGTCCTCCGTCGGCCAGTGCCCCCATCGGCTGAGCGTCTCCGTCAGCCATGCCTCCGTCGGCCGAGCGCCTCCATCGTCCATGCCTCCGTCAGCCGAGCGCCTCCATCGTCCACGCCTCCGTCGTCCATGCCTCCGTCGGCCGAGCGCCTCAGTTGTCCATGCCTCCGTTGGCCGAGCGCATCCATCGGCCAGAAGGAATTCACAGGACTAGACTTCTAATGTAATCAGCCCAATAGAGGCTCTATATTGTAATGGGCCTCCCAAGCCCAAGACTTGGGAGCCAAGCACACTTTTTCCTATAAATACTCCCCTTGGGCCCCCTATTTGAAGACGTGCATTGTTCTACTCCTCTTCACCTCACTACATGAGCCTCGAGGAGTGCGGGACTGGGGGACTACATCGGCCTCCACATACATGCAAACATCCAGAAAGCAACAACAAAACAAGGACTACCAAGTAGTGCCCCCGTCGACCATGCCTCCATCAGCCAGACGAAGGTCTGGGGGACTACATCGGCCTCCAGAGCAAAGATAAACAAGTTCAAAAATGCAACGAACACAAGCCTATGACAATGGTATCTCAATGCCCACAGCCATGTTAAGGACACTCCTCGTCCTCAAGGCAGGACGCACATCGTCCTCAATGTCAAAGACACTCCTCGTCCTCAAGGCCAATGGCACGCATCGTCTCCAGAACAATGACATTCATCGACCATATCACGAACACAACAAACGCAAGCGTAAGATCCATCAACTAAAGTCAAAGGAACAAGGGCAGGACATTCATCATCCTCAAAATGAAGGACATCCATCGTCCTCGAGATAAAGGACGTTCATCGTCCTCAAAATGAAGGACGTCCATCATCCTCAAGATGAAGGGCATCCATCGTCCTCAAGATAAAGGACGTTCATCGTCCTCAAAATGAAGGACGTCCATCGTCCTCAAGATGAAGGACATCCATCGTCCTCAAAATGAAGTACATTCGTCCTCCTCGAGATGAAGGACGTTCATCGTCCTCAAAATGAAGGACATTCATCGTCCTCAAATTGAAGGACATCCACCGTCCTCGAAAGGAAGGACAAGAGACAACCGACTGTGGCACCGCCTCCAATTGAAATGAAGAACGTTCCTAACAGCTCAGTTATGTAACCCCTCGGCCAGGAACACTAGAACTCCCGGGTAATCCTCCGTCGGCCAAAGCGTCAGAACGACAAGGATCTACTCCCTTTCACTTCGTCTGCATCTCAACTCAGAGAGTGGGGGACTCCTGATGGAGTATATGGGTCCAGACCCCATGACCCACATACTCAGAAGACTAAGAGGAGCACATCTGTCATCCAGTGGGCCCTCCGTCAGCCAGATGGCACCCCATTGGCCGAAAAAG